GGCGGCGTGACAACACAGTAAAACACTGCTGACACTGTTGCAGTACGGCGTCTAGCTAGGACTTTGGTTCTCGCTTTTCGGAAGGTTAGCGCTTTGCGCGGGCCGAGAGCGAACGCGATATTTGCGTCACCACGCCTGGGAACTGATCGTTTCGACTAAACGCCACTAGAGTGCAACACTATACGGCAAGGATAATTTAAACGGCAGAAATCTGTATAATGTTGTATTGATTGTGGACTATTTTTTTTTAAATAAAGTTTGCAAAGTAAAAAAAGAAATGCTATGCTATAATATTCTTTATCTACAACTATTGAATTATCTATTCGTTATACATTTGATTTTTGACGGGTAATGACACGCATTACCCATGACTGACAAAGTGTTGAATAATGAAGCCATTATTCCACAGTTCTGACACAGCCTACTAATAAAAAAGTAAAATATTAACAGAAATGACAGCTTTCCTATATTGATGTTATGTCTGAAATGTCTATCAAGTTTTTTTTTTCGTTTTTTTGATTTTTTTTTTCAAAATTAAATAGTTGTAGATAAAGTATAGTATTCAACTTGCGTATAATGGATGTTACCCACTCAGATTCATCTTCGTGGGTAACAGCCGCCATTATACGCTTGTTGAATAATATACTATTACATATTACAACAAAAGAAAGAAGAAATTTGTTGTATTAATTAATTTTTGAATGTAATGTTAATGAATAGTGTTTATAGTTTAAAAACGCACTTTTCAGGATTAAAATACAGGATGATTTATTAGTTCACCATCAAACTTTGACATATGATAGCTAATCCAATTACAAAAAAAAGTGTTAATGAGCTATATGTAAACAATATACGAAATTATAAACCTTACAGCAAACTCATATTACAATGACAACTTTGTTTTTGTTGAATGTTTGATTTTACTGACTATTAATAAATCGATGCAGAAAACTTTAAAGTGTTATAATTTCGTAAATAATTGAAATAGGACATATGTTAATTAACATTTTTTTTGGTAATTGGATTAGCTATCATATGTCAAAGTTTGATGGTGAGCTAATAAATCACCTAGTATAATCTCATTAATTTCTAATAAATTGATTATCACTTTTCATTTATAATCCGAAGGAGAATTAATTTCTAAAATTTAATCAAAAGTGATACTACTCTAAGATTAATGAATTCCAATTGCTTGCCAATAAAGATGGACGAAAACCAAATTAGATTTGAATTAAAATCGTTAAATATTGAAATCAAATACTTATGATTTTAAAATAAAAGTTCATAAAAGTTTTGTCTTAGGGTCCTTTTAAAACTTAAAGCTTAAAAGATATGTTACAAAACTTAAACAAAAATGTTATCAAAATAATGGAATTTCCACTGAAACGTCAAATAATCCATTAGACAACACTCAAAATAAAAAGCTATACGAAGGGACATCACACTAATAACGGAAAGACACGAACTGTTACAACAAAAATTTATTAACAGGATATTGAACAGACATTATTGAATGATATGTGCTTATCTCGAAATAACGACGAAAATCTCAGACATAAAACTAAGCTATTAGAAAAACTTTGTGACATAACATCAAAAATAATGTATAAATAATATGTATCTATAAATTATAAATAATTTGTAACGATCTTCTACGGTGGAAAGATCTGCAAATGTAGGTCCATAGCCGAATAAAGATATGTTCTCTCTTTTTATTATCAAAATTTCCATAAAAAAATTTTACATGAACTTTACTTGTTGTTTTAATGTTAAAAATTCCGCTAAAAACCTTGACACGTGCTCCCAGTTTAATTTATCACTACATTGGCGTGTAGTGATTTCATGCACTTTTTGAGACCTTTTAATTCTTGGGTTTAACCGTAATGTTATTGATAAAGGCATACTGGCGAAACTAACATTACTTATTTTACGCAACAAATTTGTGAGTTTACATAAAAAGTTGTTGTTGGAAACGATTGACTGGTTGATATAATTAGAGGGATAATTTAAGTTAATGAATATGGGATTATTTCAAAAGTCGATTAATTCTCATTAGAATGAGGTATATAATGAGTTACTGTTCAATAACATGCAATTAACAATTAATATAATTGATTAGAAATAAACATGACATCACAAAATTCTATGAACATATTTTTGCCATAAATTAGTAAAGTAGAGGTTTTATTTGACAAGTCATTTGTTATATTCGAGACCTCGGTAGTCAGTAAGTACTCACATATCAAATTCACAATTTCTATCTTTAAAGAAGTAAAGATTTAAACCGAGGACAAGTCAGTGTAAATGAGACATTCAACATTCATTACATCCAAAAAACATAATGTATTGGTTGTGCAATCAGTTTCGTTTAATTTTTAGGGGTCTAAAATGAAGCGTCTCGACCAAAGTGACCTTGACGACAATCTCTCTAATCCGCTAACTTTGTTGCCCCAAAATTCAATAATTATTTGCATATGAAGATTAAGTTGTTTTCAACAAAGAAGAGATTACAGGGAAGGTGTTGATTTCTTTACATATCTTAGGAAATGTTTAGAAATCTCTTGAAAGCGTTTGTTATTTCTGATTATCATTACCAACAGAATTAATCGCAATGAATTCTATGGAAATCGTTTTGAAAATCCTGGAAATTAGTACTTGACTAGACATCCATGACAAACCCTTATACATTCTTTGAAAATCTTTGCAAATCCTGTAAATATCACTAAAAATAGATTAGAAATCCCTGCAAATACTTGAAAATTCTAAGTATTCTCTGAAAGTGGCTAAAAACTTCTGAATGTTCTTTGGAAAACCATTGAAAATTCTCAGCGAATTTTTTAAGAATACTTACAAGCCACTTATACCTTAGAAATTTGTTAATAATATTAAAAATACCTAGATTTACTTCATAACTTTCATTACTCTTTAAAATTCCTATAAATTCTGTGGAAATAGTTGTTGGAAATCTTATGGGAATACCCTAGATTTTCTATGGTAATCTTTAAGAATGCTTGAAAACGTCCTGGAATGTTATAAAAATGTCTGCAATCTGTAGAAATATCTGATATCTTTGAAAATCGTTGCAATACAATAGATTTTTTAATATTTAATGAATATCAGAGAGAATTGTCTGAAAATTCTCTTAAATAAAAAATTAAATATCATAGGAAAAAATTAAAATCCTTAAATTTATAGATATTTTTTAGTAATTATTGAATATATTTGAAGACTCTTATACAACTTAGAGTATTTGTACCGTTCTTCAAAATCTAATATAGTTTTTACCGTTATAATATAAACCCTTAGAAACGGAGGTGCCACTTGAAAGGCAGCATATAAACGATGTATATCTATTTTGCAAACATTGTTACGTTGTTGCTACGTTGATATTCAAGAACTTCATCGGTAAACTGAGAGACTTAATGATAGACGTAATAAAATCGGCTGAAAAGTTTTCGTAGAAATATGATCGATCCCAAAACGAATTCACTTAGGTGATACAGATGAAGTAGATAGCGGTACTGGTGATATTGACAAAGTCCCAGAGGACAACTATGAAAATCATGATAGTACCTTAGAACAATCAGCAGAAAGCGATGATGACGAACCCTTGATAAATGAAATTTTTACGAACTGTCTCCAAGAATATGATCAAAAGCTGATCCACTATCAGTGTGGCAGCTATTATTTAGTGACGACATTATGAGCAGCGTTACATGCTGGACAAACAAAAGGCTTGCAAAAATGCGACTTGATTGCATCAATCATGATAAGATTGAGCTAAATGATCTGGAGATTATCGAGCTGAAAGCTTTTATTGGATAGTGTACACTTTGATTTTTCATTAAAATTGCTAAATTAAAACATAAATTGCCGCTTTGTACTTAATCATGGAAAATATCTTAGAATTAAAAAATTATGTATAGGCAATGTAACAAATTGTCTCAGTTATATTAGAGATTTTTTAGGTGCTCAAAATATGTTTGGAAAAAAAATTGTTAACTAAATCATTAACTATGAAATCAATCTCATCAACGATTATAATTTTAATTAATAGAATTCCACAAACATAATTCTTACAGTTGTATTTATATTAAATAAAAATTAAAAAAAACATTATGGGAATCCAACGCTCCATATGCAAAGCAATGAAGCGGAATGAATCGATTTGCAGAAGTATACGAATGATTGAAGAATTTTCGATTATATACAGGGAACATCAGGAAAGCTATTATTTTTGTCAATTACAAAGACCATCACAGCTATAGTTTATTAGCAACATGCGCCGATGATTATAAATTTATCTATATAGACGTTGGTGTAAATGGCAGAACTAATGATGGTGGAGTTTTTTGTAATTCCAAGCTTAAAACTTTAATTGTTGACAATAAAACACGTTTTAACGGTATTATTTTAATAAATATGTTATTAAAGTACGCACAGGTTATGTGTCCCACCTCTCAAATCAAATTACGAACGAAGCCTTATTAGAATTGTTCATGAGATAAAGTTTAAACAACTTTTGTATTTTTTGAAGTAAATCTGTTGATATACACATTTTCGCTCCGTCAAGCAGAGGTAATCCCACTTTAAATTTTCTTCAACATGAAGAATAATTAACAAAGTAATTTTATTGCTTTAAAGAGTCTTTTATTAGTCTAGAAAATTGTTTTTGTGTAAGACTGGCCACAACCCAGACTGTGTAACAATACAGTCATTCCGTTATATGTAGTTCAGTGTAAGTGGTGAGACAACAGTGAGAGAAGAATCTACTGTTCATAATCACAGTCAAGTTGTTGCGTGTAAACCGAGGTTATTCCCAAGAGTGTCTTTTAGAGTACTATTTTGTTCCACTTTTAATCTTGGCAAAGTTTTTAAAATTGTTTCAAACCTTGATTTTGAACTTGCATATTTTTTTAAACTATTCAAAAAGGCTTGATTTCAACTGCATAATATATTTGTTACTTACTATAATTATTACTACTATTTAATTTACTTACATAGTTTGATCTAGATCTTCAGGAAACGGCGTCGGATTTTCTGGTATAGGACTTGGCTCCGGTTCTTCTTGTACTGGACTTTCAAAAATAAGAGTTTCAACCATCGATCCTTTTGAACTACCGAATGACACCCTGCCGACAACAAAGAAAAAAAAAATGAAAAACTTTTATAATCGAATCGAAAACTATTTGTTACGAAAGTTAATTGTAAAAAAAAGTATTTATCTCGTCGAATTAATCTTTAATTACTTTAGGAGGCGCATTGTGACGCAATATAATAATAATAAGTAAGACGAAGCTACCACCGCGGTGGAATTTAATTAAGGAACCGTTAATGCAACTGGCTCGATCTCGTTCGGATTCATTTGGCGGGGAGTTTATTTGGATTGGAAATAACCGAACAGGCATATTTTTCAACCGCCTCGGTTTGTATTTTTGAAAATTGCCGCAATAGCTATAAAACGATCGTCGGTCTACTTGAAATAATAACGTTTAATGAACTGGATTGGATCCTGTTTAGAGAAAAAAGACAGAAATAAACGTTCCGTCTTTTAATTTAATTTCTAATAATCACATACATAGAAAGTACATAATAATTTGACCTAATTCAAATAATTATTGGTTTAGATAACTCATCAACATAATTTTAATGATTTTGAACTTATTATTAGAAAGGTGAATATTAGCAAGTAAAATAAACATATTATTATCCTTTCATTCTTTTAAATGTAAATTTATCAAATGTCCTCCCTCACGCTTGATATACATTAACCGGACGAAGAGTTTTAATTAAAAATGTTTTAACGGTTACGTCGGGAAGTAGCTGTTAAGTAATTTGTCGACAAAGACTATCTTCTCGTCGTCGTAATTAAGTTGAGAGGGACTCGGTCCGGTTGAGAGCGTTCTCATTGCTGAATCAAACGACTGAAGAGAGTAGAAACTCATAAGATTCATCGTGCATGAAAATTTTGTCTGCTTCGGTTAACAAAAGATTCGTAATGGTTCTCATCTTGTTTGAATTAAACTTTACTTTTTAGGATTCATTTAAAACTTTAAAAATGGATTAATAATTATTTTAGAAGTAATTGTATTTAAAAGTAATAGATTGTGAGAAATAAACAAACAATTGATTTGGTTTCTGTCCAAGATCTACATTAAGTTCGCAGGGTTAATAGCAAATTTTTGGCAAGTCAAGGTCTGGTTATTTTAGTTTTTTACTATGGCGCAATCAAAACAATGGTGACCTTTGGACGCGAAAACAACAAGGTCTTGAGTTATAAAAACCAAAAAGAAATAACTAATTTAAATCTTCTTTTTTTCTTTTATGTTATTTTTGTTATTTTTTATTAGTGTTAAAACAAAAGTAACAACACAGTTCTTTTAATCAACACAAAATGCAAATATGATTATTTTTATTTGCTCATTTGAAAGAAATCTTTGAAAAATAAACTGTGCCAAATAAAATTAACGGAATAAAGATCTATTAAAACGGTAAATTTATAAAAAAAATAAAGTACTAAAGTAGTACTTAGAAATCCAAAGTTTGTGGGTATTTTTTTGTAAACGTAAAGCGATTCTTCACCACAGGATGGCGTTGTGCGGTGTAAACTACCGTTAGCATTATTACTGCAGGACGCATTTCAACCGGGATTGTCTCTAGGATATTATGCTTCCGCAATTAGTACCTACGTGCTGAACATTTCATGAAAAAAAAACAAACATACTAGATCTGATATTTCAATGTTATTAAAAAAGAAACCATTCTTTTACGACATTTAAACATCGTTATATTTTATATCGTAGGTAACGTAACCTTGACAGTCATATTATAATGACCGTACTGAAACCAAATTACTGCATAAACATCATCATTAAACCAATCAAATTGCATACGACATAATATTTATAATGATATATAATTATTCGTTTTTGTTTGCATATGAAACTAAATGATTGAGTAAAACAGTTTATTTTATTTAAATTGTTATTCGAAAAAAACATGTTCATTTAATTCTGGCAACATGTCTCTATCCCTGTCCTCTCATCTCATCTCTGCGCCTGTCTGAAAATTCATCATCGCAGCGAAAAAAAAGTGTCTACGTTCACCGTTTGAGAATTACTTCCAACAGCTCCAAAGTGGAACATGCTTAAGTACTTCAAGCTCTTAAATCGAGCATAGTTACAATAAGTGGTAAATATGGATTATATGCAGTTCTCAATTCACCAGTTGTTTTTAAGGATTTATATAAAATTTGTAATTAACCTTTTATCCTCCTCGTATGTCACATGATAAAAAGGAAACATCAAGCTTTCTGTTGTAGGATTAGCTATGTTTATGTATAAAAAAGATTTTATTGCACAAGATTTTAAGAGAATGTGAAGTAGTATGGTTAAATAAGCTTGGAATTATACATTGCATTACATTGGAATTATGTTCTGTCTTAACGCTGTTTGAAGTAGTAAAGTTAGCTCCATTTCTGTGGTTCCACGAATAAATATTTATTTATCTTCATGGAATGGTAGGTTTTGATGTGTATAGGATTCCCATTTTGAACGTATACACTTTCTAATTAATGCGCTATGAGACGTATCAATTCATTCATAAATAAATTGGAATAATTCAATAGATACATATACCAACTCAGAAAAAGATAGACCAATAATAAAGCAAGAAAAGCTATATTCATGTCATTACACTGTACTTATTTGAATTTAGTTTTGTAATATTCAAGAACTTCTTATAGCAGTAAAACATAATGTAAACACAGAACTTTTCGGCGATTTGGATGGTATTTTGTAAAAATGAAGTTTTTTTGAAACTTGTTTTTAGTGATTTCAACAATCGTCATCATCTATAAAGGTAAAAATGTTGCGAATTTCCTACACTTAGCAACCTTGTGATTAATTCTTAAATTTAACAACAACGACACAACATATAAAAGAAATGTAGGAATCTATGTAGCAGTAATCTCAAAACTAATAAGCTAAATATTATTCTGAATTATAATTCCAATAATGGTGTTGTCATCACGATGCAGCACGTATTTATAAGAAAGAGACTCCCAAAAGGTGGTCATTATTTATGTTTCATTGCTAATCTAAGCAATCATAAATGACCTGATAGAGACTCAATAATACCTCGAAAAAGGACCACGCATGGTATTTTTACCATCGGATTGAGTGCAGATGTTGCTCGCGAAATATAAAGGGCTTAGAAAGCAACCGTCAGCAGAAAACAAAACAGATACTTTTGTTACTAAATCCATACCAAAAGAAACATCTCCAGATCATAATCCCAGCGCAGCCGAACTTTGCTGTGGGTACGATGCGTTCAGGCAGGCCATCCAAACGGTGGATGCAGAACATTGAGGGTGCAACATTAACCGAACAACTTGGATAGACTTAGTGATCAAAAGCTGATGTGCTTCCTCACAGATGGTATTCATTGAAACAACACAGCTAAATACCTGTTAAAACACAGCACTCGCCAATCCCACTTCTGCCGGCTCGGGGAACATTCCGATAATTGCCTCTCATCTTCCACTTCAAAATAATATAGGCCACTAGGTAATTTTTGGTAACAATTCGCTAGATATGCATCTTAAAAATATTCCTTTGTTGCGATAACCGACCATTACATAAGCCAATGTTGTTTTCTACACGATATTAAACTGTAGAAAGCATGCCGGACATCTGGACCGCAGATGTCGGCCTTTGCATGGATGTCCAAAAAAAGTTTCCGCCATTTAAACCTTTTATTGAAACTTTATCCCAAGGCTAATAACTTTGGGACACTTTTTTTATATGACACTCTACATTTTACTTAAACTCCAAATGTGATCTAAGTGCATATTTTAATACTTTTATTTATTTTAATTTATTGTAAATTTATAAATTCAATTAGTTAAAATACAAAACATAAATATACTAAATAAAAATTTTTATTTTAAGTAATGCAAACTGTCGCGAACCAGTAAATACCGTGATCAGTTATTTTGCAACGATGATAAAAAATTTGTTATGGGTTACTAAATATCACCATCTCCTTTTCCACAGAAGGGTGCCAAATAGACAGGTATTAAAAAAAATTTATTAATGCTTGTGAAAGTGGAATGTTCAATGTTTGAGGATTTTATAACTGAGTCGTGTCACAATATGATCTAGTATTTTGTAAACAAAAGGCCTGTCTATATTTATCTTGTCCAGAATCTTCAGGACGGTGATTTTGCATTACTGTTAAATTTTTCCAATTACTTACATTTTGCAAATACACCGTGTTCACTCAATTCACTTATAATGGTAACTTGTGGTGTAGTATAATTAACAGTCAATTACTTGGCTCAGTTGCGCTAAATTATTGTCTTAATAATTCGCACTACACAAGTAAAATGTTTAGAAAATAATTTGGAATTGGGCGATGTTTCATTGGGATTTTGACAAGACAATTTTACCATGCTGGATTAAGCGTGGTGGTAGTCAAAACGCCACCAGGTTTGAACAACCTAAATCTCTGCTTTTGGGATTGCTTAAATCATTAGTTTATGAAACGATAATAAACATAGAATCATTTCTATAGAAAAATGGAGAAAATCATTTCTCATATTAAAAATTATTAATGTGTACCCTTTCAAAAAAAAATGACATTTTTGGAATATATGCCACTTAGGTATTTTCCCTGATTGTTCGAACTGATGTGAGTTGATGCTTTTTGAGTAGAATGACCATTAGGGGATAAATAGAAAACAAATCATCGAATGTAATATTGCGTTTTGTTCAACATTTGGGTTCCATCAAACGTTCAAGTACACTTTCTGGTTTGTTACTTTTTCGGAAAGGCACTGCTGGCTGTATGCTGAGGTAAACTTCCATGCTTAGATAATAATTAGAAAAGAGAGAACACATTTAATCCATATTTTGAATGGCACACGTTTTCTGAATGCCCTCAATATCTTATCAACAGTTTCAAAAAATGATCAAAGATCCTTCTAATTAGTTTCAAGTTATGAACCTCTTTGCGTTGCGCTCCATGTTCTATATTAATAAATCGCAGATATTGTAGCAACTAACCACTACCAACGGTATTCCAAAGTTTTGCTGCTTTGCTTTTTATAACCTTATCAAGTAAAGTAAGCCAAAAAGTGCCAGA